AATTTTAGAAATGCCCAGGATACACCCAGTCTTCCATTTACAAATTTACGTGCAGGTTAGCATGTGAAAAGTCTAGGTCCCCCCACTCCCCCTCCCCCCTGCTTCAGAGACCAGAGACAATAGGCAAGGCCAGAGGAGTGGACTTAGAAATGGGATCCATGTGTAAGGGACAGGCACCACCCCGTCCTTAATAAAGTGTGGAAAGAACTTGGGGACATACCACATTTGGAGAGGGACAATATTGACTAAAGCAGAACATTTTGCTTTTTCTTTCTTTTACCAAACACCCCTCTTTGTTCTTATCAAGCTTGGGGAAAGGCAGCAGAGCAGTGGCAGAGTGGGAAGGGCTGAGCATTGGCGTTTAGGGTCTGAAAGTGCTCGGTGGTCTGCGTTCTGAGATGGTGGTTCACATGGTGCCCTCAGAAGCCATTGTGAGTCTTACCTGCCCAGGCCCAGGGTTGGCAGTATGGAATTCGGCAACAGGCAAGGACAAAAACTCACTGCCTATGGCTGGACAATGGTGAATATCTAAGTACATTTTTACTCTCCTCTTGGTCTTGAATAGGCTTTCTGTCTCACAGTGATGAGCCACTATTCCTCAGTTGTGCTTTTGCTTTTTGTGAGCTGTTATCCATTGTCCGTATTTTCCTTTTGTTTTAAGAGGGTAGTTCCCAAGACCGTTTTAGGAGTGGACATGGCTGCATATGCCATAAGCCCAGCCAACAGTATAGTTTTGAGTCAGCCTCTTCCTGCTCCTGTATACTTCCCTATTCCTCACACTGGGGCCCATTTGGGCTTCAGGAGTTTGGAGGACATCACTGCCCTGCAGGTATAATTCCTTAGAGAACAAAAAAATTTTGCAACTCTCTCCCCCTTAACTACTCCCCACACATACATGTGGGCAACTGAAAGGGAAATAATTCCAATTGTTGAATTTTAAGAGAAAAACTGTTCTACTAGTCAGTTGAATCACAGATCCCTGAAATCTTAGGAATGGCATTTGTTCCAAAAGGAAGATGAAGCAGTGGTATCAAGGAGAGTGGCTCTGATGAGAAGGTATTCGTTTTGTAGATATTTGTGGTTATGATTACGCCTTGGTGTGTATGTTTTCTGCTTTTCTGAAGCACCTCACACCCATTTCTGGAAAGAAGTATATCTGTAACTCATAAGTCCCATATCATATCTCCAACATGGTGCCCACCATTATTTGCCTGGACACCTCACTCATCAGTGTGGAAGGGCAGAAAGATCTGGCACAAGAAAGATGAACTTGAATCCTAGGTCTTCTAACAGGAGGGTGATCTTCCTTCACCCTCTAGTCCCTCATCTTCAAAGCAGGAATCCTTGGAGGATTAACCATAATAACTACCATTTGTCACACATTTACATTACTACCACTGCTGCTAAGCAATTTCCATAAATTTCCTCATTTTTCTCCCAATATCCAGTGAGCTCTTTTACCTCTGGACTGGGAAGGGCTTTCCAAGCACAAAGCCGTCAACGACACTTCAAAGAAAGCAAGCTATTGACTTAACTACATTAATACTTGGATTTAAAGTCAAAAGGACTAATATGCTTAATATAAAAATTTCAAAACTTCAGATCTTTATAGAAAAATAAGCAATGCTAGAAGTAATTCAAAGAAAAGCAAGTAAAGTAACTAAAAAAATCTAAATATTTAATATCACTGGTAATCAAGGAAATTAACATAAAAAGAATACCATTTTTGCCTATCAAATTAAAAACAATATTTTCTTTTGCATGAAAATACTCAGCGTTAGCTAGGATATAGTGAAAGCCACACCCTTTTATGTTGTTGGTGGGCATGTAAATTGGAATAGCTTTTCTCTAGAGTAATGTGACAAAATGTGTCAAGAGCCTCGATAAATGGTCACACTCAGTTGATCTGGTAATTCCACTTCCAGGAACTTATCCTGAGGAAATAATCAGACACGTGGTCAGGGATTTATGTAAAAATGCTAACTTCTGTATTATTTTTCATTGATTACAACCCAAATGACTAACAAAAGAAGGTAACTCCATAAGACGGAATGATATACAACCATTAAAAATTTTGTTTTAAAAAATATTAAATGATATGAGGGAAATTTTCAAAATGAACGAACAATATTATCTCAATTTTATAAAAAGAAAAAAAAATACATAAGCTAAAAAGAACTATGCCCCAAAACCCAAAATGTTAGCAGTGATCTGTGTCTAAGTGGTGAGATTGTGGGTGATGTATATATTATTTACACTTTTCTTGATTTGTTCAGTGGGATCCAGAGAAAGAGAGAAGGGAAGTGTGCGGGATTGCATATTATAAAACAGTGCTCTTCAAGCTGGTCATGAAATAGCCAAGTAGAGAGAATTGGAATTAACGTCAACAGAAATAGTTTTAAGGCCTTCTCCAGGATTGATAGGTCTAGTGTACCAAGTAAATCAGGAAAGACAGACATGGAATCAAGGGTGCATGCACACATTCACACCTGGGATAGGTTTTTTCTTCAAATAAAACTTCTGCCGGGCTAATGTTGGACACCAGCGTATTGTCGAACATTAGTCATTAACATTCATATTACCTATGATCCTATTTTTTCACTCCACAGTTTTCTGACTATAGAGATTATTGGGTGAAAATCTCTTTTGTATTTTATGTGAATTAAGAAATAGGTTCACTAACTAAACGAAATCTGCACGGCAGATACTGGGACTTTGAAGTGCAATTGTAAAGATGTCAGATGATACCAAATGGTTCTGTTTGGGCAAAACCATCACAAGTACCAGCCTGCATATTTGGGAGGGTGGGTTGCTTTAATTAAGGTTTCCAGCAGCGCAGCTGTAAGACATTAGTCAAACTAAACCCCTCCTTGCTCCCCTTTCCAACCTTACAGTTACTTTGTTACTTTGTCAGGGCTGCACCTGCCCAGCAGATGTATATCAACATGGCCTCTGTAACTATGTAAAGGGGCCTTCTACTCTGTGGCCTGCACACAGACATGCACACACACACACACGCGTGAGCGCGCGCACTCTAGCTCTTCAGTATGACACAGCTCCCTTGGTACATGCCAAAATGGAGGGCTATTCAAATAAATAGATACAATCAATAAGTGTGAGAGTGGAAAGGACGCTATGGTTTCCAAGAATTAAAAAATGTTAGGGAAAAGGAGAGCAGAGATGTGCTGTCCTTGAACTAGAACTTCACAAACCAATTAAAGCCAAGTATCTACTGGGACGCCTGGGTGACTCAGTTGGTTAAGCATCTTCCTTCGGCTCAGGTCATGGTCCCAGGGTCCTGGGATCGAGCCCCACGTTGGGCTCTCTGCTCAGCGGGGAGTCTGCTTCTCCCTCTCCCTCTGCTCTTCTACCTGCTTGTGCTCACTCTCACTCTCTCTCCCTTTTTCAAATAAATAAATAAATAATATTTTAAAAAATAAATATCCGCTGATGGAGCCTGGGATGTGTATTTTACACTTGACCTTAGCCAAAAGACCAAGCCGCTATGGGAGTGTGTATTTTAAATTCTGATGCAACCTGTGGAAGCCGGCAGCTGAGAACCACTCCCTCAGCCGCACTGTGCGGTCATGTATTTTATTCTGCTCTGTCGAATATGGTATCCCACCAGCCCCCAAGGGCTGCGGACCTCATGTCATGCAGCTAGTGTGACTGAGGAGTTGAACCTTTAATTAATTAATTTTTAATCTAAATGTAAATAGCCACATGTTGTTAATAACCACCACATTAGAGCAGCCTTAACCTATCGTGCACTGCCTTCACTTGGGCTGGAAAGAGGCTGATCTTGAGCCCACCCTTCCGAAGGGTTGTGTGCTTGGCCGCTGACACTGGGATGCTCAGAGGATGGCTCTGAGCTTCACATGTAACTTCTGGGTACTGTGGCCGCAGCTGTGGCTCCGGAACCTCCCTCGAAGAGAGTCAAGGGCCATCCTGCCTCCCCTAGCCACGCTCAGTCGCGGGCGCTGCATTGGGTAAGGTAACATGCTTATCGTCTTCAGCTCAGAACATCCGACGGTGCTTCTCCCGTCCTCCATCATCCCGCAGAACAGAAAACCAAGCTCTCGCTCTCACCCTAGGATTTCTAACTCATTATGTTTGTTTTTGTAGTTGTTTTATTTTTAACTAAGGAAACCATTTCTAATCTTCTCCCCTGTTGTTTAAAGGGTATAAAAGTTCAGCATGGTGAGTTTTTATGGGACTTTTATGGGAAGCCAAGTGTTGTAAACATATCCAAATTATCACAGTAGTGTAGTTTCCCACATCCTTTTGCTCTGCACACCGACCTGACTTCCCTTCGAAATATGAAACAGATGCGCCCAATTAGAATTCTCCAGCTATTCCAGGCCCTGTGTTAGGGTGTGAACCCGGTGAGATCAGGAGAACTCTTGAACAGACTGCCAAGACCGTAAGCTAGGTGCAGGCAGGGGCTGTGGTCCTCCAGCCTGGGCTGGGTTCCACATCGTAATGTGACACCTGCCATCTCCTCGAGGCCCGGTGCGTGTTGGCTGAATGAATTCATATTCTTGTGATGGAGAAAGTGGGCTGAAGGGACGATATACAGAAGAGAGAAGACAAGACCCAGGGAAAGGCCACAGTTGGCATAAAGGTGATTTGATTTGGGGCAAAGTGCTTGTCCTCCACGACTTTCCTCCTACCTGCTGTCATGTCTAGCAGGTAGGAAGAAGAAAGTTTGCAGCACCCCATAATCTAGTTCTCTTCCGGTGACGACCATTTAGTACCACCATGATGATTTCCCAGACCGTGATCATGAAAGGCTCTGAAGGACTAAATTGCTTCCAGAGGTGAAGCCAGGAAAGACTGCGTGTGTTTCAGGCCTTAGTAATCACGTGCTCCTGTGCTGTGGACTCTGGGTTTGGTGTTTCCTCTGAGGTTGCAGTTCTGAGAAACTTAGCAGTTGGACAGGCTGTGGTTGTGATGTATCTGACCGCTTATCAGCACTTTTTATTTTCCTGAAATTTTAGGCACAGAAAAATGAGAGAGAATCTATCCGACAGAAGTTGGCACTGGGAAGTTTCTTTGATGATGGCCCAGGAATTTATACCAGCTGTAGCAAAAGTGGGAAGCCAAGCCTTTCCTCTCGGTGAGTGTTCTTTTGAGTTGATTTTCTGATATGTCCCTAATGGATTTTGCATTCCGACCATACGTTTAATAAAAGATATCTTTTAAACCCTTGAGTGTTTCCCCCCCATAGTACTACACCTTTATTTGGATTCTAGACAGCCCCCTCCCCCACTTGTTGGGTTTGCTTTTTGCTTTTTAGTTTTCACCCAGCCACTTGAGGTCATATTTCTATATTTCAGTTTTTTTCCCCTAAGCACAATTCTGATTTTGCACTGTGATGGGAGAATCAAGCCACACTCTTAATCAAATCAGCTGATGCTTAGAGAAGTGTGGCAAACCACCAGAATTCCCATTAAGCAGTCCCAAAGCATCCAGCATCCCCCCAAACCCCCGACACATTTGATTGAAGTGAATACTGGTAACTGAGAAATACAATTCCCACTTTGATCATTCGATGTTTATTACAGTACTTAACCTGTCCTTCAGGCATTTTTCCTTTATCTTAATTTATTTCAGATTATCATTGCTCATTTATTGTAATTTACTTCAGGAGACCACTGATCATTTGCATAGCTTTTAATTCCAGTTAAAACATATTAACATTATCATTTTACCTAGAAAACAAGGCTATAGACTAGAGATTCCCAAACTTTAATCTGCATGTGACTCACTCCCTATATAAAATACGCCTATATTTACCATGTTAAGCCAGGGGTGGGAGATGCATGATAACATTCATGCATTTATTCAACCAACAGATCTCCACTCTCTCCTTCCTGTGATGCCCAGAATTAGACACTTTAGTGTCTATTTAAATCTATTTTATCTAGCTTTCAGTAAGCCTTGTATTTCAGTCTCTTCCTTAGAGACTCCTCTGAATCAGCGAAAGTCAGAAAGCACTCACACGCTCTCATATATGCACTTACAGGGGTCACCGCTGTGGCTTCATACGTGGGGACGGAAGTGGCGGAATCCTGGCGTCTCCTGCTCGGCCAGGTGCCAGCTGTGTCTCCTAGGATTCCCTCACTTTTCTCACGTGTCATTCCAGAGCTGGAAGGCCAGCCTTCCCTTTGAAGGAAAGCATCTCCTTCCCTTCGCAGTAGGATGTGGCAGGGGGAGCTCGGGGAACCAGCAGACTGGGGATTAACCCTAATCAGTTTCTGATTTTGAGACTTTAACAGTTTTGTTGTACCATGCCTCAGTCTTTAGAAGATGAGGGTATTTGACCACATAGATCTCTACTGCTTTTCTCTAACATTCCCCAAGGCACCAAAAGGTCTTTTAGAAGCCCCATCTCTCTGCTCAGCTAAGTCACATTCATTTGGCCCAAATGGGAGGTTTTGTTTTTAAAATCAAAGTCATATACATACACACACACACACACACACACACACACACACTTACGTACGTAAGACTCTGAAAATAGCATTAACAATAACTGTAAGATGTATAATAACAACACAAAATACAAGTTACAGTCCCCTGTCCCATCTGTCTCTATCTTGTCCCACTCTCCAGAAATGATAACTCTCAACTCCTTCGCTGTTTCTTCTGGTAATTTACCTACACATCTCTAAGTAGAACGCTTATTCTCTTAGTCTTTACATAACCATTTACGGACTACCAACTATAGAAAATGGCGATTCACATCTTTTACAGACATGTCACTGTAACTCCCCATATTCTCCCTTTATAATTATTTCATAATTTGTTGTCAAATAATGGTTGATTGTTTACATTATTAAGATCGTCAGTTCTTTACACTGAACCTTGTAGTAAACGGATTACTTGAGAAACATCATTGTTTGTCCTGCAATGAAGACCGCCCCATTTTTCCCATTGCCGGGGCACGGTTTTGGCTGCTGTATTACCTTCCACTTTGTGAGTGTATCACACTTCATTCAGCCCCTCTTCGGACTGTAGGCACTGAGTCGTTTCAGAGTTGTTTTGCTCTTGTAAGCAGTGCTGCTCAAAAACACTCTTGACCATGTCTCCTGTTGTCCATGTGCAAGTGCTCCTCTTTGGTGCACATCTAGGAACAGAACTACTAGAAAAGTATGTGAATGTTCACATCCAGAAGATAATGCCGGACGTGTTACCCTGCTACCAGCAATGTTGCTGAAATCCTGTGGACTGTAGTCTTTCTCACGTGATACTGCCAACCCCTTTTACATTTTTGTTAATTAAACAGGTATTAAATAGTATTTCATTGTGTTTATTAGCCATCTTTGCTTCCCCTTCTGTGAAATGTCAGTTTCAGTCTTAGGTCCAAATTTCTATCCGATTCTTTGTGCTTTTTAAAATTGTTTTATCAACGTCCTTTCATCATGATACTCATCCGTAATATGGTGTATGTATTGCAGAAATCTCTTCCCAGGCTGCAGCCTGTCTTTTCACTTCCTCCCTGTGTCTTCTATGAACAGGGTTCTTTTTATCAAGCTTTCATAGTCCATGCTTTCTGTATCCCATCCAGAAAATCTTCAACCCCAAGATCCAAAAGACGTTAACCTAGATTTCCTACCAAGAGTTGAAAGTGACTTTCTAAAGTCCGTAATCAATCAGGTGTTGGTTTCTTGATATGGTTATGGAGGCGATGTCTGATTTCATCTTTTTCCATTTACATGACCATTTTTTCCATCCTGTTGATTAGACAATCCCTCTTTTACTCACTGATCTGACAGACCACTTCTGCATATATGAAACATAAGTGGGAATACATTCTGTTTCATTGGTAAGTGTTTCTATCCCCTCACCAACACCATGCAGCCTTAATTACTATAGCCTCAAAGTAAGCCCTAAAATCTGGACAGGCAGGCAAGTCCCTCTCCTCTTTTTCTTCATAAGTGTGCTACCTGTTCTTGCTTTTGTATTCCTCCATATCAACTTTAAATTATCTAATCAAGTTCAAGAAAGTACTCTCTTGGGATTTTGACTAGAATTGTACTGAATCTATAGATCAATTCAGGGAAGAATGCATTTCCACAATATTGTATATCCCTACCCATCACCTCAGCCTTTCTCTCCTTTATTTGATGTAATTGAATATTTCTAAATAAAGTTCATAATTTCTCATTTAGAGAGATTATCCATCCTTTGTTTTATTTATTTCTAGATACTTGGCATTCTGGTATAATTTTAACTTCTCTTTGGTAATTCATTCTCATTGTTTTGCTGCTGGTGAGCAGAAATGCAGCTTCATTTTTATACTAGTCTTAAATACACCCACTTTGTTAGAGTGTTCCTACTACTTGTCTGCCCTTCTGTTACTTCTAATAAAGTTGTCTGTAGATCATTTGGGATTTTTAAATACTATCATCTGAAAAAGAGCAACTTTACTTATTGCTTTCCAATCCTCATGTATCTGTTTTTTTTTCTTTTATTACATGGTTAGGGCCCTGATAAAAAATGGTAGTAGTTGGAATCTTTAGCTCATTTCTCATATTAAATGAGTACTTCTAGTGTTTCCTCACTTCGGATGATGTTAATTTTAGGTTTTCTTTAATGTTTCTCTTTGTGAGTTAGTCATGTTCCCTTATATTCATAATTTATAAAGAATTTTCACCATGAATAGGTATGTAACTATCGTAAGCTTCTTCAGCATCTTTTGAGATCATTATATGATTACCTTGCTAATGTATTAATGAATTACAGGTAGAGATTTTTAAAATTTTGAACAATCCTTGCATACCTAATATAAAGCAAAATTGGTTGGATTTTTTCAGACACCATGAATTTTATTTATAATATTTTGTTTAGGATTATTAAACTTATATTCATGAGTGACATGGGTCTGCTGTATTCTTTTCCTACAGTATTTTTTTCTTGTTTTTATATCAGGGCAGTGCTGGCTTAATATTAGTTGGCTACTATTCCTTCTTCCATAATGTCTAAGAAAAGTCTGCATAATATTAGAATATGCTATTTCTCACCTGTATAAACATCAGGCCTGTTATTTACTTTGCGTGTTTGCTCTAACTGCTTCCAGTTTTTAGATGGTGTTAAGGTTATACATGCTTCTTATTTCTTCTTAGGTCAGTTCTGGTGGGTTATATTTTTCTAAGAATTTGTCCCATTTTGTTTAAGTTTTCAAAAATTTTTGAAATGATGCTTTCTCATTTTACAATGGGTATTAATTATAGGTATATTGTTTAAAATATTTTCTTCTGATTTCTACATTGCCCATGTTTTTTTCTGAGTTTGTTTTTGTTTGTTTCGATTTCTGCCCATCAACAACTAATGTAAAATGCTAAATGCTGTAAGTAAACTCCACAGTTGGGGCTTGGTGACATACATTGTTTCCTCTGAGAGACCTTCCCTGACCACCCAATTAAAAAGTAAACACCCAACATACCTATCATTTTCTCTCCTCTTACCCTGCTTGTCCTCTTACCCTAATTTGCTTTTCTTTGTGGTCCTTGTCACTACCTGATATTGTATTATATATAGTTTTTCTTTTTTTGATTCATTCTTTGTCTAGTACTCCAAGAGAGTCCATATTTTGTTCTCCACCGTAACTATTGACTGAATAATGCCTAATAAGTGGATGCCTGGGTGGCTCAGTCAGTTAAGCAACTGACTCTTGATTTCGGCGCAGGTCATGATTTCAGGGTCCTGGATTCGTGCCCTGTGTCAGGCTCCATGCTTAGTGGGGAGTCTGCTTGCGGATTCTCTCTCTCCCTCTCCCCACTCCCCCTGCTCACGTGTGCTCTCTTGCTCTCACAAATAAATAAATAAATCTTTAAAATAATAAAAATAATTAGTGCCTAATACATCGTCACTAAAGATTTGCTGAATTAAAGAATGGTGAACTTCCCTTTAGAATGGTCAGATAAAAATGCAACTATTTCATTAGGGTGCCTCCAAATAAAAGTATGTAAATCTCTTTTCTTTGGATTCTAAGTTGCCACAGACGACTCTCCACCCTCATCCTGAGGAGTTTTAAGCCCAGCTGCCAGGATTTTAAGACTCTAGCGGGGAAATGGTTGAAGGTTCAACATGTAGAATGTTGTTTATTCCTTT